TGGTACGGGGGTTTCTCCTCCCAGCAGCTTGCTGGCCTTATGCAGGCAGATTCCTCACAGGGTCATGTGAACGGGGTCATTCCCAACCTTCCCAGATGTTACGGGGTGGGAGGAGGAGGGCGGGGGGTTGGACACTTTTAGGGCCTCTGCACAGGTATTTTAAATGAGGAGGTAATTATTCTGCACATTGGGACAAAGAAACATGCTTGATTATTCATACCTGCTTTGAGGAGATTTCCATGTTCAGGATCGGTGTGGGGGCCTGGAATGGCAGAAAACACCACATTTTACCAAATGCTTTCATTTGGCCGTGCTGAACTGGTCTCATCTGCGTCAACTACTGTAAGGACCCCAACCAAAGCCTAACCTACGTCCGGAGGCATATTTACTGGGTCAGTGGGGAGTACTGACAGGAGACTCGCTCTCTGATTCATGGGGATTCTGTCCTGCCATTATTTTGCACATATGTGAGGAATATGAGTTGAGAGGTGGTTTTGCGATCACTGATTTCCCAACCTACATGAAATCCAGATGACAAAACAAGTAAGGAGAGAAGCTCCGTGACGTAAGGCCAGAGCTACAGGCAGAAACATCCGGAAGGCCTCTGCATCCGGAGCTGCTCCTCAAATCCCCCCCAGCACTGCTTCCAGAACATTCAGCAGGCCTGCTCCGCATTCACGCACGGTCAGTTCACTCAGCTAAGACAAGGTTAAAGCGCAGCATGTGTATCTCATTTATAAGCGGAGGGTCTCGAAGTTTGTCTGAAAAATAGATTTGGAGGAAACGCGCAATTGCCTTGATTCTATCTGCTCTCAGGGTCACAGAGCAGCTCCCTGTTTACGCGTCTGTCAGAGGCGTGATGGATTTACTCATGCAGGCCTCGTCTCGCTCGTCTCTCCCCGATCGGCACCCTGGCGTCCCGTATTCTACTTATTCATCCAGTGCACTCTGTTGTCCTTTTTCCTTTCTGGTTCGAGTGGCTCTGGGCTGTACCGGGAACACCTGCAGCTCCTCCAGAACCAGCTCCTCTGTGGCCCAGTTGTCCTGAGTAAGTGGTACCACCTTCAGAACCGTCCCCATGTCTGAAAGACAAAAACAGAAACACTGTCAGACTCCAATCACCATGTATCAGCAACAAGGGCTAACGTACTGTTAGAGGTTAGCTAAAACATATTTCAAATATTTAAGGAGGCTGTTGCAATTGATATTGCCATAAATAACTTGTGAAAACACTGAAATGCATTAAACATTTCATAATAGATTACAATGAGACACTGCTATTCAAACACGAAACACATTATTTTAGAGGTACTACTGCCCTCTACAGGTAAGAAGAGAAACAACAGCATATTATCTGCCTTCCAACACACAACATACAGCTTGGAGGACCTGGAGGAAAACCACACACCACAGGGAGAACATGCAACCCCCAAAGCCAGGTGGTGTGAGGGGCTTGTGACAGATATATCTGTGCCCACCTGTCCCCAGAAACATGACGGCATACTGTCCATCTGCAGCCAAGACCCGGTCCACGGCGATCTGTGTCAGCCTGTAGTCCACGTTGACACGTGTGAACACCGGCTCCCGGGACACGGGGTACACAGCTCGGTACATCCTGGGGTGGTGTTTGATGAAGCTAATCACTTCGTCTGGGAAGTCTTTTGTGCTCTTTATCCGGGGGTCGTACGTCTTACTCGGACACTGAATTAAAAACGGAAACAAAGGGGTTTTCTTTGGATATAGTTTCCCCTGCCAGTGATGGTGACCAGAACGGAGTCAGCGCGGTGAGCATACCTGGCCCACCACTTACTCTCTGCATCGTCCCCTAAAACAGCTAAATGCTGCCACCTAGTGTTTGAAACAGAACTGCAGCAAAAAGGACAAGCACATGAGTGAAAAGCACTTATTTGACCACTACTGGAAACCCCCCGGACTCAACCTTAATCAACAGCATTTTAGGGGAATAACCAATCACCATTCTCCCTCATCTGTCAATTAACTGTATTAGCCTATAGGAAACAGGTTCATGTAATCTCCCACCCCTATCTGCAATAGCTGCTGCGTCCGCAGTGTGGAGAGAAAACGGGGTGCATCCATGATGCCAAACCGCAAACAATTTTAAGTAACATATATACTGTAGCACTCGATAATAAGTGTGGATGAGTGGCATGGTAGTGTATGTGTAAAGAAATCGAAACTGGACATCGCATGTGCTTCCCGGACAACCCACGGAACTTTCAAGGGGAGCGAGAATAAGCGATTTCACTACAGAGCTCACAAGTTGGACACTAGTGGAATGAATTGAATGCAAGGAGGATATTGCTGTAAATCACTACCCAGCAGTAGCTCACCGTCCCGGGCCGCGGGTAGGGAATTCGGCCCTCGTATTCCACCCAGTGGTGCTCAGGTCCCTCTTTGTGGGCGTAGGGTCCGTTGAACACTGATCGGATCTCGGCCATGTTGTAGACGCACACCGCCGAACCCTTGAAGACAGAGCTGAACAGAAACTCCGATTCAGGCCTACTCAGGACTCAGCATGGAGGACGCTTAAGCTGTCAGGACATCTGCGGAAGCGGCTACCTGGTGGTGGTGAAGACACCATAGACGATGGGGTTGCGTCTGTCTCGAGTGGGGAGGAGGAAGATGTCCTCTGCAAACAGAAGGAACATGGAGACTGAGGCCCGTGTTCCCGGCCCAGCGGGAGTCAAAGAGCGGCCATGCGGCCCGGAAGACTCACGGAGCCGGTCGAAGCGCGTGTCCACCCCGCTGGGCCCGGGGATGGAGCACACCAGCCGGGCTTTGAGGAACGTTGTCCATTTGTTGGTCAGGCTCCTCAAACCACCCACATCGTTCTGGGAAACAGCAAAGAAATCGTCTGCTGTGAGAAGAAAATACTGTACATAAAGAAATGTGCAGGGACGCCTCCCACAAGGAAAAGACTGGGAACTGGCAGCTACAGCTTCCTGTTGTACTGATTTTGAGGGTGTGTGTGTGTTTATATAGTTTTACAGTTATTGTTTATTTGTATTCTTCCAAAGGTCTTAATGACAATGACAGCTAGTGCTGACTGGGGCTTTTTTTGTTGATTGGGGCGGCGGGGGGTGGGAAATGGATACACAATATCTGTGTACAGCAGATGGGGGGGTGGGGGGGTCTGAAGGGGGCAGTTTGGCAAGGGCACCATACAAGATACAATACACATCATTGGTAATCTAGGTTGTTAACTAACTAGGTCTAGATTATCTGGAAGTTTCAGAGGAGACTGGCAAACTTTAGACAAACCAAAGATGCAACATATAAACATCTTGTTCTTTGAGGGCTATTCAGTGCAGTGCAGTGAAATATGCAGTATGCATATTTAATATTTTAAAATGTGCAGAAATGAGAGGTATATATAACAGGTGTGAAGGCAGAAGGCACAGTGTTCCTGTCGCACAGACGGCTGCTGCACAGGCTGAATATCCATCATCATCTCTCATCTTTCTCAGACGCGATTTGTGAAAAAGGAACTTTGTGATGTGCACAGAAATAACCAGATAACTGCAGTAACTGTGCGGCTGTCCTCTCTCATGCAGGCTCGTCCCGCATCTTCCAGGGGCCAGTGCTAGTGGCGTGTGGCTCAGTGGGTTAGGACACTATGCCTGTGATCAGAAGTTTGCCGGTTCCAATTATCTTAAACATGTATGTTGCATTGGATAAAAGCAACTTCCAGTGCACTGCGAGACACCCCCGAGCAGGGCAGCTTGTCCCCTTCCTCTACCAGGGACCCCCCCCCCCCCCCCCCC